ACGAGCTCCGCTACTCGCTCCCCGACCGCGTCTTCTCCCCCGCGGCCATCCGCTTCTACATTGCCGAGATCGTCTCCGCGGTTGCTGAGCTCCACGCCGCGGGCGTCGTGTACCGCGACCTCAAGCCCGAGAACGTGCTCCTCCGCGCCGACGGCCACGTCACGCTCACCGACTTCGACCTGTCCCGCCTCCTCCAGCCCAGCAGGTCCGCGGACTCGTCGTCATCGCCACCGCCCCCGCCGCCAGCGTCGTCCCGCGGTGGCCACAACCGACGGTCGCGCGTCCCCGCGCGGAGCGACTCGGTTCTCGGCCAGGCCAAGTCGTACTCCAACTCCAAGCCCCCTCATCAGCCGTGGTCCGCGGCGGCGTCGCCGCGGCAGCAGCTCCAGAGCCTGGTCCGGTACATCATGGGCAGCGGCGGCGACGGAGCCGGGGTGGGCAGCAGGAAGAGCAAGTCGGCGCGGGTGTCGCCCGTGAGCCGGAAGCCCGCGAGCTTCGGCGGCTGCGGCTCCGGCGCGTCCATCGCCGCCGCCGCGTGGGGCAAGTCCTACTCCTTCGTGGGCACCGAGGAGTACGTGGCGCCGGAGATGGTGCGCGGCGAGGGCCACGGCTTCGCCGTCGACTGGTGGGCCGTCGGCGTGCTGGTCTACGAGATGGCGTTCGGCCGGACGCCGTTCAAGGACCAGAACCGCAAGGATACGTTCCGGAACGTGCTGCAGAAGGAGGTCGAGTTCCCGGGGACAGCCGGCGACGGACGCCGGAGCTCGCGGACCTCATCTCAGGCCTGCTGGAGCGGGACCCGAGGAGGAGGCTCAGGTACGCCGGCGGCGCCGACGAGATCCGCGCCCACCCGTTCTTCGCCGGCGTGGCGTGGGACATGCTCACGGAGGTGTCCCGGCCGCCCTACATCCCTCCGCCGGCCGACGAGGACCTCGCGGACGGCGACGGGTTCGACGTGAGGGGCCACTTCAAGGACCTTCACCAGCCACCGCCTCCGAAGTCCGCGTCGGAGTCGTTCTCGACGGAGTTCTGAGCTCGGTTCGGACTAGCTCCTTTTGCGCTTTGATCCTCCGTAGATTACTGTATTGTAACCAAAGGATCGAGGGTGCCTGTACATATATGGAGACGGGGTTGGTGCTGTAAATTTGACGTAGAGTTGGTGGGGCTGTGCAAACATTTTGGGAAGGGCAACCAGGGCTGGCTCTGGCTGGCGCACGTGTGGGCTCGCGCGCTGCGCTCGAGGCATTTTTCTTCGTGTGATTTTTTCGCTTGGCTTGCAAGCGATGATGACCTGATTACCGAAGAAAAAAAAGGATAACGTGACTTGGGGAAATTTTCCTGTCTCGGTCTTGTTTAGATTGGGGTTAGAAATCAGTATTTGGCACTGTAGTATTTTCGTTTGTATTTGACAATTATTATCCAATCATGGCCTAACTAGACTTAAAAGATTCGTCTCGTAATTTACAATCAAACTGTGTAATTAGTTATTTTTTTTATCTATATTTAATACTCTATGCATATATCAAAGATTTGATGTGATGGAGAAAAAGTAAAAAAACTTACAATCTGAACGAGCCCTGTTTGAGTTTTACTCCTGACTAGACATCACGTACATAGGCAATGATGGATTCACGAGAGAATTCTGATGCGAATTAAAGTAGTAGTTCTAGTTTCAGAGAACGTGCAATGTACAGTGCTCTGATCATCATAATACACAATCTTTAGTGGAGCTAATTAAACCTTTCTCCTTTTGTTTAGTTCTTTTTATTTTTATTAACATAAGAGAAGAAAACGAAAGAAGTATTGTTACTACTACCAGGCTACCAGCCACAAGGCCAAAGCTAAAGACAAAAACTAAGGTGCGAGGTAATCACAAAATATACAATAAACACACCAAAACAAAAAAGGCCAAGCAAATAAGCAATAATAAATACAAAACCGCAAATTAAAAGAAGTTGCATAGTGGAGAACCAAGCAATAACTGAAACGGTCAGTAGTTTTTTTTAAGGTGATTGTACCATCAATATATCAATCATAACTAAACTCCTAAGCTCAATTTACCGGTGGACCTTAATCGATATCAGAATTCGTCAACAATGGTTGGCTTTTTTCATATATACAGGGGTGATTCCATTGTATATGACAGAGTTTTATGGCTTAGTTACAGCTTACAAGCTTTAACTAATGTGGCCTGAGACAGACACATTTTTTTCTTTCTTTTTGCGAGCAACACATACTCTCAATAATTGTTGACTCACCATGGCCGTTGCTTATATTAAACATGGCCATCGGATTCGTACAGATGCTGTGCTGTTCCGAGCTGTTGGTTGTTGAGACAAACCACGTCAATGGCTCAAATGCCCCCTCTCCCACAGTCCCACGGCGCCAAAATTTTTAAATGACATGCGGAAAATTATTTTTGTCAGAATTGAACAAATCAACGTTTAAAATAATTCAGAATCTCTGACACTCTGTGCACGGGTGAACGATCCATTCTGATGGACTGACCTATATTATTTAAGCTCCTTAGTTGTTACTATGTGCATATCTTATTTAGTTCAGAAATCAGAAAACACTATTATCAGCTGTTGGCAATTATTCTGATGCATTGGACATGATAACGCTCGTGTATTATCCATAACCAATCGGTGGTCTATGCAGTACGTGTGAGCTTGCAAATGCAACCCCTGCATGCATGACACTAGCTAGCAGCTGGCTGGCTGGTGCGCCATTACACATCTTGTTAGCTGCCTGCCTAAAGAGTGTTTTAGTTTGACCAAATCTTGTTGGGCAGGCGCCTCATAACACGCAGCAGTCCTAACCTTTTCTGATCTCATTGCTTGTTTTTGCAACGTTGCCAATACAGGTTTTAAAACGTACGGGCTTGTGTATGTTGCTTCTTACTACCGCTGTCTATGTTTAAGTGTGAAGTTTAATACTAGTAGTAGGGCATTTGGCTTATTTAAGAGAAGTTCCTGGAGAATGTTCAAGGATTAGGAGACATATGGCCCTTGCTTTATGCGCAAATTTGGGGACTGGTAACCACATCCAAAAAGCTCTTTGCTTGTTAATTCGGTAGTCCTATCAAGATAAGGAAATTGCTTGTCACTATGTAAGACGAAACCAGGCGGTAGTGATTGTTCAAGACACGCCACTAGACACTAGCTGGTTCTTCTCTAAGTACACTGAATCTTCTGCTTCTTTGGATCATTGGATGATGATGTTTGTAGTGGTGGCCCAAATCATCTCGAACTTTTCATTTGAGGTTACGTATCATCATAGATGCATTAGTGATTTGTGACGAAGAATGTTTTGCAGCTTATTGCCGTCTGGGTTCCAAAATAGCTGCACATCTCGTTTTCCGAGAGCCTACAAATCTATAATATTTTACAAAAGGAAATTCATCGTAGAAGCGCTTATCTTGACCCACCAATACTGCACGGCGTTGATGTATTCAATAATGGACCGTGGTCTGGCCCAATTCTTCGCCTCTGTATTGGCCCAATTGATGGACGATAGCAACAAGCCCAAAGGTAAAAGGGCCCAAACCGTTAGTTCTTCCATCTCTTGATCTCCTGTGTCATGTGTGCCCTCGTTTACTGGCAAGTGGTTGAGGCCGTGCGGCTCCACTAATCAGCAGTAGAGGGCTAGATGCAACAGGGGTCTGGGCCGGGGTGGGGGTTGCTCCAGATGCAGGGGCAGGGGTGAGACCCGCAGCTTGATCTCAGTCTGAAGCTTCGCCGGCGGTGCTCCGCCTCCATGGACTCGCTTTCTCCGTCGACGCCGTCGGTCCTCAGGAGTCAGGATGCTATGCTCGCTGATGACACCCGCCCAAGCTCGTAAGCACTCATCAGCTCGAGCAATAGTGTAGGAAAAGAAAACAAGGGATTGGAGTGGATTCCTTTTTTTTCCCTGTCTCCTTGGATTGCAGGAATGTAAAACACAGGAAAAGAAAAAATGTAGAAATAGAATAGGAATACAGGTGAAAAACAGAGGAAATTTAAAACATAGGAATTTTTTTATACCTAGGCGTTTGGATAGCCAAAGGAGAAACACAGGAATCTTAAAGGATTTTTAGGAACAAAGCGTGATTGACTTCTTAATCAAGCTAATTTATTCTATTCCACTCTCATGGTTAGACATCTCATAAATTCATTGTTTGCCTTGTTCCTTGTGCATAGGAATTGTTGCATGAGGTCTAGGTGGATTGTTTTTTTCCTATAGTTTTCCTATGGAATTGAAGGGGAAGGAAAGTTTCCTACGGAATTCCTAGGACCAATTCCTACAGACCAAAGGCTACTACAGTTATTCTAATCCTATGGAATCTCAATCCTATATTTTTCCTTTGTTCCACCTCCATTCCAAAGGGGCCCTAAAATTGGCGTTTCAGCTTCCTTTCCTCTATTTCTTGATTCCTGCGATTTTCCTTGGGAACTCCTCTCTTTAACCGGTTCGATTTCTGCACTACACACGTTCTTTTTAAGATTAGGATCCATTGGTCGAGCTGAAAAGGACAAATGCTGGAAATTAAACCCCGGTTTATCAGCTTGCGTTGATCAGTAATAATTTTACACAGTATGTGTTGTCCACTTGCCCACCACATTTATTTTACATGTAATTTTTATCTATAATATTGTCTTCCACTACAGGTCCAGTTATGCTTCAGGTTATGGCATTTTGAACCCTTGAGTTGGTTTGTGTAATTTTCTTCCTCTTATGCAGACTCCTCTCAGAATCGCATTTGTTTTTCGCTGATTTCTCTACACTAGATTAGCTGTTCAGCGCCCATGATACAATGGTTTGGTTAGTTAATCTGCAGTTACACTAAAGGCCTGCCCACTGCAATTTGTGGGACTAGTTTGCCACTGTTTTTCTAAATCTTCATGATAACAATCAGGATACCTTAATCTGCAACAAAACTTTACCATTGCGCTTTCCACTTTACTTTGTAATATATATATTCATCATTGGAAGATGCTCCATCTGTTGAGAACTTCTCTTTATCTGTTATACTGATCATCTATCCTCATCAAGGTGCTCACCACCTCCCTCATGGAAAGCCTAGATTCGAAAGCCACCTGAGTGCAGGAAATCGCCAGGTCCAACAAGTCCAGCGCCTTTGCCTTCTCATCTTCAGGCCAGTACATGATCTCCTCATCTAGAAAGCTCATCACGCTGCAGTAATCAGCGTGCTTCAGGTTCAGTCTCATCCATGCCACAATGTCAACGCCGTCTCCGAAAGCAGGATCGACAGGCATCTTCCTACACAGGAGCTCGAGCAGCACCACACCGTAGCTGTAGACGTCACTCTTCTCGGTCAGTCTTGTGTTGTATCCATGCTCTGAAAAAATTTCCGACAACACAAGTGTAACTAACGAGCAAACGATACGGCATTGGAATACTGTGAATTTTTGAAACAAGGAAATGATGAAATTTTACCTGGAGCAATGTAGCCAAGGGTGCCAATAACAACTGACACCGTTGCATCTGCATCCTCGTCACCTACGATCTTCCCCATACCAAAGTCTGCGATCTTAGGCACCAAATCCGCATCCATCAGTATGTTGCTTGACTTGACATCTCTATGAACAATCATCGGCACACAGTCATGGTGCAGGTAGGACAAGCCCTGCGCTGCGCCAAGGGCGATCTGATGCCGGACCTTCCAGTCGAGAGGCACTTGAGGTTTTCTTCCATGCAATAGCTCAAAGAGTGTTCCTTCAGGCATGTAGTCGGAGAGAATCACACCAAAGTTGCCACGGATGCAGTAGCCCTCCATCTTGACGATGTTCCGGTGCTTCACCATGTTAAGAATCTTCATCTCGATGGGGAATTTGATCTGGGACAGATCAACTGTCTTGACTGCCCACTGCCTTCCGGGAGCAAGCTCTGTCCGGTAGACCGTGCCATGCCGGCCTCTCCCGATCACATACTTCTCGCTCCAGTTGTCAGTGGCACGAAGGATGTCATCATAGGTCAGGTCTTCAGGCAATTCCTCTGTCGTGTCCAGGCCACGCACCGAGACATGTTTCGCCAACAGGCGCCGCCGTGACCTCTTCACCATGTAGTGAATTGCACACAGCCCAGAAACCATGACAGCCAGAGATGACAGTAGCAATGCTATAATGATCCGTGTGTTCCTTCTTATACGCCTCCTGGACTGGTTCTTGGAGCAAGGTGAATTTTCAGACTGTATGCATAGCTGAGGGTTTCCTAGAAACCCCTTGGGTGAATGTTCTGCAAGCTTAACCCAGCCAGCAGGGAGCAGACCAGAGAGCTGGTTGAACGACATATTCACCGCAGAGAGTGAGATCATGTTGCTCAGTTGCGATGGAATTGGGCCAGACAAGGAGTTCTTTGACAGGTCAAGCATTTCCAACATCTGAAGATTGCCAAGGCTGCTTGGGATCGTGCCGCTCAGCATGTTGCTGCTGATGTTTATGATCTGAGAGATGAACTGAAGCTTGCCTAAGCTCCAAGGGATAGCTCCTTCCAAAGAGTTGCTGCCGAGCTGCAGCTCAAGGAGGCCCTGCGTTGAGGTGAAGGCGTCTGGAATCTCTCCGCTGAGCTTGTTTCCACTGAGTACCAGATGCTGTAGGCTACTGAGTGATATGATCTCTGCAGGTATGGTTCCGTTGAGAAGGTTGTTCTGAAGATCCAAACGGACAAGTCTCCTGCAGTTTCCCAACTCATGTGGTATTGGTCCAGACAACTTGTTTGACGACAGGTTCAGGTTGCCAAGAAGGGTTAGAGCGCCGAGCTCGGGTGGTATGGGACCAGAGAAGCTGTTCCGAGACAGATCAAGCACTGTGAGGTTCTGCCATGAACCGAGCACACTTGGTATCTTCCCCTCAAACTGATTGCCACCCAATTCCACGTATGACCAGCCAGTGTTTATCCCCAAATCTGAAGGTAAGCTTCCGTTGAACATGTTGTTTCCCAGACGGGCTCTCCACAGAGACTGGCACTTGATGATCTCACTTGGAATGCTCCCACTGAATCTGTTCAATGCAAGGTCAAGAATGGCGAGCTGACCTCCAGTGCAAAGACCTGGTGGGATTTTGCCATGGAAGTGGTTCCCCATGACGTCGACCCAAACAAGTCCATGCGTCGTGTTCAACCCCAGGTCTTGTGGGAGCTCGCCGGTGAAGCTGTTGAATGCCAGGAGGAGATCTCTCAGGCTGCTCATGTGGTTTATCTCTGCAGGGATCTCTCCACTTAGGCTGTTGTTGTAGAGCGCCAGCCTCTCCAGCTGCGGCATCTGCCACAGTGCTGCAGGCACAGGTCCGTGGAGCATATTGCGGTACAGGGACAGCCATTGCAGCTTCTTGAGCTCGGCGATCTCCGGTGGTATCACCCCTGTAAGGTTGTTGTTCTGCAGGTCAAGGATGACCAGCTCCTGGCATTTCCCTATCTCCGGTGGAATTTCGCCGGTGACGAACGTGTCCTTGATAGTGAGCCACTGCAGTCTGCTGAGGTTGCTGATGACCGCCGGAATTGTCCCGGTGAACTGGTTATTGTGCAGGCGCAGCGTTGTCAGAGACCCACATCTCCCGATGGACTCAGGGATGGAGCCATTGAAGCCATTCATTGAGGCCACAAAGTTCTCCAGATTCCCGAGCTCGCCGATGCTCTCCGGCAGCTCTCCGGTGAACAAGTTGCTGTTGAGGAAGAGCTTCTGCAGCTTGGTCAGGGAGCCGAAGAAATCGGGCAGGGTGCCCCCGATCTTGTTGGAGGATAGGAACAGGACGGTGAGGTTGTCGCAGTTGCCGAGGCTCCAGGGGGAGCTCGCCGGTGATCTGGTTGCCGTAGAGGCTCAGGTACTGGAGCCTGCAATGCAGCGGGAACTCCGGGACCGGCCCAGAGAGGCCGTTCCCGCTGAGGCTCAGGTAGGCGAGCCCCGGGAGCGCGGCGACCTCGGGCGGGATGGCGCCCGAGAGGGAGTTGTTGCTGAGTTCGAGCGTGGCGAGCTCGGAGCACGCGGCGAGCGCGGCGGGCACGGCGCCCGTGAAGCTGTTCAGGCTCAGGTCGAGCGTCGCGAGCGCCCGCAGAGCGCAGAGCCGAGGCGCGGACGCCGCGAGCTCGCCAGACAGCCCCTGCCCGGAGAGGTTCACCGCCGCGACCGCTCCCGTGGCGGTGCACTGGACGCCGAGGAACGCGCAGTGGCTCGGCCCGGTGTCGCTGGTGTTGGTGGTGGTGGCGTTCCACGATGGAAGGAGGACGCGCTGGGAGACTGGCGGCAGGGAAGTGAGGAAGGCGCGCAGGACGGCCGCGTCGCCGGCTCCCTGAGACGCCGCCGGCGTAACAGAGGCGGCGAGCGTGACGAGGAGCGAGAATGCGGCGGCACACGACATCGGAGAGAGCTAGCTGCTGTCTTGAGGAGGAGAAGGCGGCGGCGGAGGAGGCTGTCTGCTGCCGGCGCGCGCTCTGAACTCTGAATGGAGGAATGGCAACAGAGAGATGGGCGGATGGCCATGGTGAACCATGAAAGCATATGTATATATATACCTCTGAGAGCGATCACCGCGCGCGTAATTTAAAATTACTGTTGGGTCTAAATTTTGTGTGTTTCTACATTGCAGTGGCTGCACCATCTGTGGAATTTTTTTAAATTGAATATAGTTTCTGAATCCACTTTCTAGAGCCTGACTGTGACGATCAGGTTATCCGAGAACAAGTTGCTGATGGTGGTTGAGCTTTCGGCTAATATTCCAAAAACAGATGCTAGGTAACAAGAACTGGTGAGGGTGCAGGTGATATCCACAGGAGGAATTCATCTGTGCGAGTTGGATTTTTTCTAGGGTTCAGAATCTTTGCCCTGCCTTTGTGACCGCTGATGATCTGTGGAGGCAACTAGATTTTGCAGTGGGCTTAGGTGCAGCTGTGCAGGATCCTCTTGTTGCAAGTTGGTGTAATTATATTATTATCTGGTTCATTCTTTGTGTCAGCAGTATTTGACTGCTTATCATCAGACCCATTTAGTACAGTTTATAAGCTGTTTATAGCTAAAATAAACTTAAACTGAAAGTAAATGGCACACTTTTCGTATTCTGTTTTTTTTTTTTTTTTGCAATGCTTCTTTTCACAGCTCTCGTTTGTACTGAAAACATAAAAGTTAAGTCATACTACTAGCTTTTTTTGACCGTACTTTTCCACTATTTGTGTAACTTCTCAGGAAGCGATTCTCCTCACATGCACATCTACAAAGCAGAGCCATTATTTTGAGTCTCATCCACTAGACAGCTCATCTCTATTTTCTTTTACGTTAGGCTAGTCTCAGTGGATAGTTTTATGACGTTGTTTTAAGACCGCCATGTCATATAGAATAAAATGAAACTTGGATGAAACATCCACTCTCAATGCAAAGTTTCATTCTATAGTTTTATAGATATTTAATTTCATGGCTCATAGAGAGTTGGTAATAGTGCCAAGAGAGTTTCATCATGAAACTCATTTCTTATCTCTATTTTTAAGCACACTGTCATGTCATCAAAAGTGCCTATGTGAAACATATTTAATGAAAATGAAACACATGAAACTTCCACTGAGACAGACCTTAGGATCGACTTTTAATAGTAGTAGTTTTGACCATGTTCTTATTCTGCAAATTGTTTTTCATATTTCCAATATGGCAATATCCATATCATATGAGTTATGATCAAGTATACTTTAATAATTTTACGTACTCTAAACTATAAATATTTTTATTAAAAAAGGAAGCTCAAAGTTGCCACAACAAATTGTGGACCATGTAAATGGAGGAATGTAGTTCTGCTTGATGGTCATCTGACTGTTTTTAACATGAAATCCCCAAAGGTTGGTCATCATGTGTGTATGGGCACTACCCTTTGTGTCAGCCTAGCCTACCGCACCTCACCATAGATCTAGTGGGGATGCCCAAAGTTGCTGCTGGTAATCTGCAATAGACCTGCATGCCTGCTGATTAAGGTTTGCACCAGTGCAGCTAATAAGCTATCCTATGACCAAAAGCATGTGCTGATTGGTTCATCAATCATCACCGTCGTCGTCATTCAGCACTAGACACTTAGGACAAGTGCACTCTGCTCGTAGAGGGTGGCAGAGGCAAATGTTGGTGGTGTTGCGGTGGGGGTGGTTGTGAAGGAGGGCTAGTGCTCAAATGGGCCTACTAGTAGTACTGGCATGCCGGGCCTACAGCAGAATTGGTGAGAGTTTGTTTGTTTCTTGCTTTCTTTTTCTGAAAAATTCTTTGATGCATGCTTTCTAGATGACAGAAACAGTGCTGCAAGCGCTGCTTCTATGTATGATCCCCTGGCAAACCGCACTGAATGTGCTCAAATAACTAACGCATATGAGATTCTTTTAATTTGCGTTGTGTGCTGTTGTTCTAATTCAAATATTAATCCAACTGCTCATCTAATGGCACCATCAAACGACCCAAATGGCAAAAGTAGCCCACCCCAAGCCCGCGCAAGACTCAGCTTGGCTTGGCTTGTGCGCGCGCATGGCACGTCCTTCACATCTCTTAACTTGACAAAGATACACACACAAGCCACCTATTTGAGTTGAGACAACATTTAGTCAAATCACATATGTGATTAAAATGTTAATGCACCTAGCATTTAATATGGTTCTTAGGATGTATTCGATTTTAACTAAATTAAAATGAGCCATGCCCAATTAAAATCCAACATTTTCTAAATGACTTCACATGAAACTTTCAACAAAATCTGACTCATCGAAATTTACCCCCTTGGTTGCAAACAATGAACCCACCTCGAAACGTCTTAAGCTTATTTGATGTTCGGTATTCTTGGAGAGATAAAATGTTATGATCCTTTTTACTTATCGGTTAATTTAGATAACAAGGAATGGGATTGTTTTTCACAAATGCTGATCCAAATCTCTTTTGCATGTTCTATTCAAGAGAGCTCGTTAACTTTGATTTTGGGCTCAATTGCAACAATGTAAGGATCAGCAAGCAATGAGGCTCTTTGCTTCCTATGGATGGCCTTCGAGATTTAGAATTGGGTTCTATCTTGAATATGTTTAAAACTTTTTTTGGTTGAGTTGTGGAGTTAAGTTTATAATAAGTTGGTCCGATTCCTCTTTGATGTCTAACCATTATCTTAGAAAATGCATGCAACTTCTTTACTTGCATGGAAAGTAGAAAGCAACCAGAAACTCAACTCCAGAATCGGAATATCAAGCTTGATAAATGATAGAAATATAACAGTCTTAGTCACAATATGTAACTTCTTTCCAAATATTATTCAGTAGCGAGAAATACATTGCACATCTCCATCCCCATCACCAAATACTACTACATAATAACAAGAACCGACATAAAGGATCAAATTAGCTATATAGCTAGTTGATAGTTCTTTATGGGACTTACACAAAGATCACTTATATATATCACTATAGAGTATAGACCACATGCGCCCTCTAGGAATTTCTATTCTAAGATACCAAACCCTTAAGTCAGCAGATTACAAGGTTCAGGAAGCTAGCTCAATAACTTCAATCCTTATATATTGAGTTGACATATATGAACACAAGTGAGAGCTACTCCAAGGTAGGCTAAGGAATGTCAATCTTATACATATACAGGTTATTCAGTAGGTTAGGCATATAAGTTTTCAACTAATATCCACTATGGCAGAATATGTAACTGTAACAGTTTTCTTGAATTCATATATGGTACGGAAACGATGAGGTCAACAAGTAGGGGATCCGGATAACCGCAGCTGGTTGTTGCTGGAGCTTGTGGATGTCCTTGACGATATGGAACACGGCTTCGGGTTGTGCTAGCTTCAGCGCGTTACGTGAGTATCTCTTGAGCTCATCCTCATCTGTACTGAACCAGCGTGCAACCTGTCTTGCAGCCTCCCTTGGGTCCTTGGAGAACACACCGGCACCGTTGTCCACGACATAAGGCACGTTTCCAACTTCCTGCATGATAAGAGCCAAAGTTGCTGATTTGCAATGCTTATACACCATAAAAGGAACAAATTTACTGTGCTATGGGCTTATAGTGAGTGAACAGTTTTGGACAAGGTAAAAGAAAACATTATTAGGCAACAAAAAAACAGAAACAACTGTCACTCTCAAGTGACCTACATACTGTAGAAGTAGTCAGCCCACCTAGCTTAGGAGTAATTTCAGTAAACCAAATTAGTGATACTGCTGCTTGATGGAGTAGTAGAGGATGGCTGAAAATTCCACGATATATACTGAAACAGCAGACAGAGGCACTGACCTGTCCAGGGATGAAGTCGTTCAGGATAATAGGAAGTCCTCTTATAAGTGCCTCTGCAATTGTACCAGGGCCAGCCTGCAACGCAAATGCCAGAAAAGCATGCATTATTCAGTGCTAATTGCTAAAGAGTAACAGTGCATCATTCAGATAACTTAAAGCATCACAGGCAAAGGACAAACTTTTGTGATGATGCAGTCGCAGGCGGCCATCCACTTCTCCATCTGTGTTTCGAACCCTCTGATCTGATGAATGAAGACAAAAAGAGCTTGAGATGTCAGGCAACCACAACCAGCAGTTCCAATTCCATCCAAACCGTAAAAATGCAGAGGTATCCATCCATCTGAAATGCGCATCTAAACATGGCATCGTGCTTTGATACGGCATATTCATTCTCATGCACACATGCATCATGCATGGTACCTACCTTGACAGGGACCTTCCATCTGAGGGACTGCAGGGTGGACCGCAGCGCCTGGTTCCTGCCGCATATGACAACGACCTGCCCCACCCGGCGCCGTCTCCGGTGGTCGTAGAGCTCCTCACCGAGGGCCCTCGCGGTCTCCTCTACCGGACCCATCCCCTCGCCGCCTCCCATCAGTAGAACCGCCGGCAGCTGAGGATCCAGTCCAAGCTCTTTCCTCACCTCATCCTGTGAAGTGTGAACCATGCCAGCCAGCCAGCAGAGGTGAGGTAAGGTAAGGTAAGGTAAGCCGCCGGCCGCCGGCCGCCGGCGTCCCAGGCAAGCAAGGCAATGCAGCTCGATCAGAATTCGGAGCTTGTCGAGTCGAGCACGGCGCGGCAGAAGGAGGGCCGGATGGGCAGCCCGAAGACGCGGACCTGGGACGGCCCGAGACCCCGGAGCAGGGCCCTGTTTGCCACCTCGGCGGACGGGCAGTAGCACCTTGTCACGCCGTAGTGGAACCTGAGCCAAACCCAGTATTGAATTATTGATCGATGGTATTCATGTCAGCAAGACTAGCGAGGCTGCTGATGCACAGCACTGCACAGGACGATGAGGAGGAGAAGCAAGCAAGCAAGCACGGTGGTGATTAGTGGTTAGCATGCATACCATGTCGGGTGGCAGGTGTTGAGGTCGGTGATGACGGTGACGAAGGGCACCTTGGGGTGTAGGCTCTGCCACTTGAGCACCCACAGCGGGATGTGCTGCATCAGCGGGTGCACGCTGATGATGATGTCCGGCTCGTACTTCATGATCCCAGACACCACCTCGCTGCATCCGTTTGCATTGCGTCGATAAGAACATGTGTATATATATACAGCTCAACAATCAAGGATGAATTAAATCAGTGAGAAAATTAAACTAAACAAGAAGATCAGCAGATGCAGCAACAACAACAGCAACAATGATGCTCAAAGTTAGTATGATCAGGCAATGCATTCAATGCTGCGCAAGGGCCGCGGAATTGAGCGTGGTACATGCCGTGCACCCATCGCGGGGAGGTGCCGTGGAACGCCACCTTCCAGAGCCGCACGTGTCGGAGCATGAACTTGTACGACCGCTCCATGTCATTGAGCGGCCACCCGCCGTACTCCTTCCCCAAATCCGTCACGAAATCCTGCGCATGTCATTGAGAAGGCGCAGCGGAGGGGCTGGTACAGCTGGCGACCGCCGCTGCCGAGCACGCCGCCCAGCACGGCGTCGCGTATGGAGGTGGAGCGGCGGGGAGTGGCCACCGAGATCACCATGGCGCGCGCGGGTTGCGGGGCTGGCCTAGGTCTACGAGCTCGTCGTCGACGGAGCCTTCGCTAGCTGTTGCACACGCGCGGCGAGAGCGCGGCGTGCAAGGCGCGCGTAGAGAAGGTGGCGAGGCGTGGGAAGCAGAGGGAGATGCTGCTGAGATGGATTACTTCTTTCACTTTGGTACCTCATCATCTTGCTTATTATTTCTTTCTGGCGAACGGTCCTGGAATCAAATGCGTAATATTCCCTCCTAGATACTGGAATTATCCTCCAAGGCTATGGCATAACGTGACTTCAAGAAATATTTGATATTTCCATTTCACAAGCACGAAAATGTTATTTCGTAACGAAACATGGCGTTTTGTTTTCTCATTTTGAATGAGGAAATACCTTTATCAGTATGATAAAATTTTGTGTTGCTAGCCGAAACCAGTACATGCCATTTTTTAAATATATATTTGGTACTTCATTCCGTTTCACAAGAACAAATAAAAATATTATTTAGTAACGAAACACGGTGTTTTATTTCTCATTTCGAATGAAAATCCTTTCACGATACGATAAATTTTTGTGTTGCTAGCCTAAACCAGTACATACACTTAAGTCCGCCTTCGGAATGCAGAGGTGAGGAAACACAGGAATATGGTAGAAATGCGTGTGCAAACCTAAAGAATTGTGTAAGATTATGTGTTTGGGTGGGTACAGAAAAAACAAAGAAGTTTTAAAGAAATCTTAAGAACAAATTCATGTTACTTCTTTATTCAACCCTACTACTTGATTAGGCTAAATAAGAAGTAACAAAAATTTCCTTTAGAACATGATACCTTAAGAACAATTTTTCTGTAAAATTATGTGTGTGGGGTACAAGAATAAACTAAGAAAATCTATAGGAATCTTAAGAATAAACCTTGTTTGAGAACAAAAACACAGGGATATGCTATCTTGCCCTAATAAGATACCGATTGAGAGCTTGATTAGGTATGAACTGCAGCCATTATTATCATTATTATTCTATTGTTTGTCATTGTTCCTTGTGCATATGAAATCAGAGAAATCAGAGGGAAGAGATTTTTTTCCTTTGGTTTTCCTGTGACATATTCTTATCAACTAAAGGCTGCTAAAAGAAATAAATTTTTTAGAAATTGAAATTCTATAGTTATCCTATGTCTCTCCTTCATTCCAAATGGGGTCTTACTATGCATTTGAGCATCGATGTCAGAAAGGAGGCCTACTCTGGTCTGGGCCTATTTTGGGTTCGGCCCAGCCACGTGGGCGGGGCGGGCGATCTGTTTCCTTCCTTCCGCAATGCAGCCCACTTTCTTTTTTCTTTTTGGCTGACAGTGGTCACCGCCCATCATCGTCATCTCGTCGGTGATCGGCTCATCGCTCGCTCCACTCGACCTTGCATAAATGATAGTTGCATCGCATTGGATTTGGTTTTGTTTTGGTTGGAGGAAGTTCGTTTTGGCGGGTAGCGTAGCAGTGGCAGGCGAGCACAGAGGGGATCGGAGAGCATCAATTCCATCCACCTTGCCGGGGTGAGTTGGCCAAGAAGGCCGGCAGCAAGAAAGAGGAGGGGAGATGGTGCCCTGCGCCCAGCAGCTGCAGCCGCCCACCGCTCCACTCCACATTCTCCGTCAAGCGGGCAGTAGGGTTATTCCGCTTCCTCGTCCGCATCGCTGCAGCCGCCGTACCATCGCCGCCATGGCCTCCGCCTCCTCCGGCACCCCCAGCCCCGTCGTGGTACGGTGCTGACTCCCTTCCCTTCCCATAAGGCTAGGTTCGTCTCCCTCTTCCTCCGCCTCGGTCTCAGCCCCTCCTGCTCGTCTCCCGTTTGCAATGTGCTGCTGCAGCTCGGGTGCGGCGGCATCTCCGTCGACTACCTGGCCACGGTGGCGTCCTTCCCCAACCCCGAAGATAAGATCCGCAGCCTCGCCCTCAAGGTGCAGGGGGGCGGCAACACTGGCAACGCGCTCACTGCAGCTGCGCGCCTCGGCCTCCGTCCCAGGATCATTTCCAAGGTCCATTCTTGATTTCCCCCTCCCTTCCCTTCATCTGGATGCAGTGAGTCAACGGCTCAACGCATGACCTTGCTCTAATGCATACAAGAATCCATCCATCCCGTCCGGATCAGGTAGCCAACGATGCTCAAGGAAGAAGCATCCTCAACGAGCTCCAATCTGATGGCATCGACACATCCTACATCCTGGTGCGAATTACTAGCCCTCAACGATTCAGTGACAATCACTCGGTGCTGTCCTCAAGAATGCAATGTATCCAACCCTTTTTTTCAGGTGTCAGAGCACGGGAATTCACCCTTCACCTACATAATAGTTGATGAGCAGACGTGAGTTCACTTGACACGCTCCCTCTCTTGTGAGTTGTGAACGTTCCCTACTTTTCATCCTGGAACAGGGATGCCTTTTTATTTAGCCCAATTATCTTAATTATATTCGAACATCCCCTTTTGACTTTCAGAAAAACTCGTACATGTACCGCCCATGGTACCAGAAGAGCTCACAAAGGCAAACTTGTCGTCCGCTTTAGACGGCGCGGACATCGTCTACTTCGATGTACGATTGCATGACACTGCTTTGCTTGTTGCAGAAGAGGTAATTTCTTCCAGGCACAATCCCTCTTAGTGCACAGGAACAAAACAAAACAAAATATAGTCCCCCTATTTCTGCAGTTTTGATTGCAAATAGCTTATAAATCATAGACATGGCTCCGAATAGGAAAGTTGTTTTTATTTTCTCCATGTTGTCAGCCTACAACTTCTGTTGCATTAATGCCACACATAAGCCTTTTTATGGTTAGTTTTATGCTTTCTGCACTGCTACTGAGACTGACTTGTGTTTATGGAAAAATCCAGTGCAGGTAAGTCAAAGAAAAATCCCTATTTTGATTGATGCTGAAAGAAAGAGGGAGCGGCTGAATGAGCTTCTTAATTTTGCATCTTATGTTGTATGCTCTGCAAAGTTTCCTCAGGTAAGCTGTTGGATTGCAGAAGAGCATAAGTGCATAATCCTGCTCAGACATGCCCAGTTTATTGTTGTCAAGTTTTACTATAAAAACATTGTTTTTTACCAGCTTCTCCTTGTAGCATTGAAAACCACTTACATTTCCTCTCGATAAGGCAAGAATTTTCTTTATATACTTGTCATGGTGTATGGTCCGCTTTCATATTATTTGTGATACAAAAGTGTGTTGGCTTTGCTTTACTGTAGTCTAGCTTAGAGTGGTAACTGTAGTTGGATTAGCATAATCAAATCAGGTGGTTGCCAAAAAAAAATTCATTGTGCCGGATATTTTGGATTTTTAGTACACTAAGGCTTTGGCCTTTGGCATATGTTTAAGTTCTCTGGTATCTTGTTGATTAGTGATTACATTCTCTCCACCTTATCTAAATTTGTAGGCTTGGACAGGAGCCTCATCAACACCTGTTGCTTTAGTATCCATGCTTTCAAGGTTACCAAACATCAAATTTGTTATTGTAACTCTGAGGGAGAAAGGTTGCTTAATGCTTGAGAGAAGCATGACAGGTTAGTTTACCGTAGCTCTATGTGTTAATGTTAGCATGTTCGTTTGGCTGTGGCTTATCGTAAACGATCATAAATTTCCAGCCGGACCAGCCAGCAGTACTTCTTCACAAACCAGCAATGAAACGAACCAGCCAACCGAACAGGCTTCCAACCAAGATCGCAGCCCCACCGGCAATGAGGCTTCATTCCATCGCCCTCCTGCGCCGGAGGCGGCGACGACATCCACTTCGTCCACCGCGTCGACGTCTGCGCTGCTCCTCCCGAGGTTCTCGTCGCTGATCTGGAGCCGGTGCCGGAACCGGTCTCGAAGACGATGGCTACAGCAGCATCTGGTACTTCTACCACGCCAAGAAATACAAGAACACCCGAGGCGACACCAGCGGGCACAGGCAGCGCGCGGTCACCGGAGGCGACGGCACGTCCTGGCACTCGGAGATAAGCCGCAGGGACGTCCAGGGATCCGGTGGCGGCACGTTCTGCACCTTCTCCTACGGCCGCAAGACGGAGCCCTCCTCTCGATCGATCGACAGGATGGGGTGGTCCATGGTGGAATACGACATCGTCGCCGCCGACAAGAAACAAGACGAAGCCGCCGCGGACAGCAGCAATTACGTGCTCTGCAAGGTCTACAGCTCGCCTCGCGCGAAAGGGAAGTCGGCGTCGGCGTCGGCGTCATCCTCTAGCAAGAAAGCCTCGTCCAAGCAGACACCCAAGAAAAGGAAGGCCGGTGGCGGTGAGCACCCCGAGGCGCCGCCAACCAAGTCGATCCAGCGGCAAGAACAGGTGCAGCAGGAAACCGCCTATTATCCGGTGGCCAACTATCGGTATCAGCCACAAGCAGACGTGCAGGAGGTTGCCGTGCAGCAGCCAGCAGGCCCAGGCGGCGACTTCAACTTCAGCATCGAAGAAATCAACTTGTACGTCGACGACGAGTGCATGTTGCGAGCTGATGAGTCGGAGCAGGGACGACGACGGGGACTGCAGCAGCACCCAATCTCCGAGCCGAAGCACGACGTCGAGTTCATCCGGCTACCGTGTGGTCCGGTGGTGCCCGTGGTGGCCGAAGCCACCGTTGAAGATATGCTCGCCCTGGAGACGACAACGATCGACGTACAGCGATTGCCACTACGTGAAAAACGATTTTTAGCCATTGGATAAATTTTTTTTAGGGGCGGTGGTGATAAAGCCGCTCCTACAGTGATGTGTTCGAGAGCCACGAGACTAGCCGTCCCTACAAATGGAATAGCAGGGACGGCTGGTGATACGAGCCGCCCCTACAAATGGGTCGGATTTATAGGGGCGGCTCATTCACCAGCCGCCCCTGGTATTGCTATTTGTAGGGGCGGCTCAATCACGAACCGCCCCTACTGTGCGAACTGCAGCCGTTTATCCGAAGCGTCCCGCTCCCAGACGTCTGCTGCCCCCGTGCGCTCTCACACTCTCTTGCCGCCCCCACGCTACGCCAGGTGCCGAGGGGCTTTGCCGGGCCCTTATTGGCCGCTCGCCAGCGACGAGCGAGATCTCACGACGATCACCCACCAGATTCGTCCGCCCCTGCCTGCCTTCCCTTTCCCGCTGCGCGAAACCAAGCTCCCCAACCCTAACGTAAGCTATTTGCTATCAGCGCCAGATTTGTGCCTCCCTGCGCGCGGGTGGTTGCGGCGGCTAGATCCAGGTGCGCGGGCCACAACGCCGGCAGGATTCCGGGGCAGCCGCGGCGACGGCGGCTAGTTCCTGGCGCGCGGCGACAGCGCAGGGGTGGCCGGATCCGCATGCTCGTCGGCCGGATCCGGTGGTGGCTGGTCCGGGCTCGCCTCCCCTCCGCGCGGTGACGGCCGGACTGTGGTCCTGCAAGCGCGGTGGCGGCTCGATCCGCGCGGTGGCGATCGGATCTGAGGTCCTAGCGGCTGGATCCGTGGGATTGGCTGTCTGAGCTGCGCAGAGGGCGTCCGGGCATGGCCTCCTTGGCTCCTTCCATTTCTGGTAGATCTGGGCGCCCTCAAGGTGAGCCGCCCACAACTGGAACCCTACCCCGCCTTGACCTCCTTGGCTCCTTCCATTTCTGGTAGATCTGGGCGCGATTCGTAGATCCGCAGCGGCGTCGCTTGTGGTCGCGTCGCGAGGTGGCGGATCCTTCTTGTCGGCGACCTGTCCGTCGTCCGAGCGCGCGCGGGCTTGATATGTGAGCCTGGGAGCTGAGGGGCATTTCTGGCGTTGCAAGCGCCGATCGTTGTTTGAATGTTTGTCCTGTCCTATTGTCTGTTGAATTGGGGACGTGGTTTGTTTGAGATGCGATGTTGAGTGGCCTTTAGCCTGTTTGTAGAATCGCTATGTGAATGTGGGGGCGTGGTTTGTTTGAGATCGTTGTTTGAATCGCTTATGATACTAGTTTTCATGTCTATTTATAGACAGAAGATAGAGCCACATTTTTTATGTAGACAACCCTTTTTTATGTGAGGATGTATAAAACTCCGTCATTGTGACTCCTTACACAAGATATTGCTCTGCAAGCATACCTTTACTGTAATAATAAACAAAGAGTTAGCACGATTTTCTCCGGGTGTTCGTATGAAGCTTTACGGCTTTGACCACTGAACTGTAATATAGGTTCTTTCCTTTTATTTCAGAGGCATGGGGCAGATGCTCAAATGATGAATGTTGCAATCAGGTGTGCCAGCACAAGTGTTGCACAGGGGTCGTCTGGTGGCTTCTGGACCTGGTTGACTGGTGCGCGCTCAAATGAAATACCTCCTCCAGATTTCACACTTTCGGGCGTGACTATTCCTCCTTCACTACCTGATCATGTGGAGGCTGGCAAGACAAGAGTCACAACACTTCCCAATGGTGTTAAAATAGCCTCTGAGACATCTGCAGTATGTCGTCTTTGTGTTTATATGGTTACTCATTCCATCCATGCCCTCATCAGCAGCTGATAATAATAGGGTGTTCTCTATTTCCTATTCAGGGATCATCTTGCTCTGTTGGAGTTTATGTTGATTGTGGTTCTGTATATGAAGCACCTGAAACAACAGGTGCCAGTCAACTGTTGAAGACGATGGCCTTCGCAACCACTGCCAACAGGAGCGAATTGCGGGTTGTGCGTGAAATTGAGGCAATAGGTGGCAGTGCCAAAGCATTTGCTGGCCGTGAGATGATGAGCTACACTTACGGGGCCCTGAAGACTTACATGCCTGAAATGGTTGAGGTGCTTATTGATTGCGTACGCAACCCTGCTTTTCTTGATTGGGAGGTCAAGGAACAGGTATTTCATCTTGGTGTCATCCCCTTCCACATGTCTGTTTTAGTTTAATGTATCATGTTCTTTGCTGACATAGTGACATGTTTCCTTTTCAGATTTTGAGGCTAAAGGCAGAGATTGCGAAATCATCAAGTAATCCTGAAAAATTCCTTTTGGAGGCTCTTCATTCTACTGGCTATTCTGGTGCTTTAGCAAACCCACTAATTGCGTCAGAATATGCAATTAGCAAATTGAATGCAGATGTCCTGGAGCAATTTATAATTGTGAGATTCATCTCCAGAATTTGTTTAGTATTCTTTATGTCCTGGTATCCTTGTTGACGTGTTATTTGTACTTTTTGTTGCATGGGTATCAGGAGAACTACACTGCTCCCCGAATTGTTCTAGCTGCATCAGGTGTTGATCATGATTGTAACACCCTAGGTGTTTGGCTTCCACTAATTGCATTTCATTTCATAAACATGTGCATCATCTATCTCAGCATGTCATTGTTACTGAAACATGCATATGCAACATTTTAAATTGTATGTGTTTCATGCTTGATTGCTTAGAATGGTAGTAGTGCAACATGTGAATGTAACATGAAATTCTCATACTTTGAAACATGGCAATATGGTAGTAATGTGGCAATTATAAAATGACAACAAAGTCATGAAACATGTGAAACATTGCATTGCAACATTGGGTGAATTGCTTGTTTTGTTGTTTCATCACATGTGATCATTTGGATTGGTATAACAATTGTGTAAAGTGGTTGGTCATGGTCTAATACATCTTAACTACACTTAGGGTAATTGTTTGGACATTGTTCATGTAGATCAAAATGACAAAATTGCCCTTTTGGTGAGGTTTGACTTGAATTGACCCCTAGAGTGGCACTGTTTGACTGATTCAAAAGTCTAACTTAGGGATCTTGCATGGCTGTACACTCTTTACCAAAGTTGTAGCTAATTTATCAAGGAACAAAAGTTGTTTTATGATCATCTCATGAAAATGGCTAGAACATGCTCAAACATGGCCCACAAGTCAGAATTTCATGCTGATTTCAACACTGAAAAATATGCTAAGTCTTAACTGCAATTTCAGTTGGATCAAGCCCACTTTGGCTTGATGTAACTTCTGATCCATGACGAATTAGATGATGGTCCTTGAAAAGAAATTGTAGATGGATGGTAGGCCTATATTTTTCATGTACACAGTTTTTGCGAAGGATCAATGGTTTAGCCGTGTGGACACGTTGAAGTCGCGCTGTCAGGCTTGTCATTAACACTGAATCGCAATTTTCAGAAAACGTTCAGTGAACGTCGTGGCTAACCGGTTCAGAAAACAAGCACCGCGTGTTGCCACCCGTCGCCGGCCTTCTGCTCGTGCAGGCCACGCGCCGTGCGCATCCTGGCGCTGCTAGCCGTGTCTTGAGCACCCCGCGCGCCTGCCCGACCGACTCGCCTGCTCCATTTGCTTCTCCTTCGCCTTCACCGCGCGCAGCACCGAGCCACAGCTGCTCCGCCATTGCCGACCGAGCCTTCGCCCTCGCCTAGCTCACGCGTCTTTGCAAAAACGCGTTGCCCAGTTCGCCTAGAGCCTCGCCGTGATCCCCTCTACCACCTCCACCGTTCAAGCGAGTCAATCGAGTCTTGGTAAGCGTGTATTCGCCGTTTTCCCCACCGCCGCCATGTCGGGACTCGCCGGAGTTGGCGCTCCACGCGGCCAACTGTCATCGCGTCCCTTGTCGTCTCTTCTATCCCTTGCGCTAGGTCCGGTGAACGCTACCGAAGCTCGTAGAGTCACCCGTTAGGGCCGAGACGCAGTCGTCTCGCCGGAGCCGGCCATGCCGTGGCCGTGCGCCGCCATGACCGTCGCCATTACCTTTAGCTGCGACAATACCGTCGATTGAGGGTACCACTAGATGCGCACGAGTGAGGCGAACACAGTAGCGCCGATGGTCTCGCCGGAGATGCCACCGTCGACGTGTTGCGCCGTCGTCTTCCTCCCTTCCCCTATTTCTCTCGCTGACGCGCGGGTCCCCCTTGTCAGTCGCCGCTGCTGAGGCGGGAGCCAGCGTGGGCCGCGTCGTGTTTGGGCCACGCCAGCGCGTGTGTCTTGGGCCGCCGGATCTGTTCGGGCTGGTCCAGCAGTAGATTAGGGTTTCGTTTATGTTTTGTTTATTTTGTTTTTCATAGATTTGTGTGCATGATTCAAAAATGTGTATCTCCTAGTTGGTAGATTCAAATGATGTGGTTCTAATTTTTCTGAGTTCATGATAATGTCTAGTATTTAATAAAAATATTATATGAGCACATGTTTTAGAAATTTTGGATGAATTAAATAGGACTTTGAGATGTGTTTTTAGATGCATGCAAACTTGTTTGAATTTTATCTTGAGTTTCTATGGTCCAAAAATTATGAAATTTTGTGGGTAATCTATTTTTGCTTAGTATAAGCTCTGGTTAAAATTTTAGAGCTAGTGCATGTGTAGTTTTTGAGTTATAGAATTTCCTTTTATCAATGGATGGATCTTGTGTGAATTTTCATAATTTTTCTATAGATCCAGTAAAGGTAAAATTTGGTGAGTGCTATTCTTATGCTTGAATGATACTAGGAAAAATATGAAATCTGTTGCTTGACACTTTTCATTAGGGTTTCCTAATTATGCTAGAAATAGACATGCCACCTGTTATTTTGGATACAGCAAGTTCTGCTTGCCCAATGGCTTTGAAATTTTTATGGTAGTCTATGTGAAGCATGAGATAGCTACTGTAATTTTTGTAGATTTTTCTGAACAGCTTTACTATATATTGCTTTAATCACCTAATTAACTAAATAAATTAGAAAAGGATATTAAATAATTTATTTAGAAGTTGGCACTATACTTTCTGGTGTTCTTGTGATATGTGTGATAAAGTCGTAAAGTTGGTTTTGTCTGTTTATGTGTTTACCACATAAGTTAATAATTATTTCTTTTTGCATTATGTCCTTCTGGACAGATCTGGGGACTTTATAAAGTTTCCCATGATAATTTGGTTTTCTGTGAATGTGATGAATACAAAAGTTGTGGATAATTTATGTATCTAGCTCCTGTCAAAATTTAAGGGCATTTGGCCCAGTAGTTTAGAAACTACAGCTGTTTAAAGTCAGGATTCCAGTTTTGCTTACTCTCTGTCTTGTGAGGACAGAGTTCTGTTGATCAAAGAATTCGACCTGGTAAAGGGTTGAATCATGCTTTGATGTTTACAAATTATTTGTATATAATTTCATAAGCTTTCTAGAATGTCCTCTTGCAAGTCATTTGGATTTGTAGAACTCTTGTTGTGATTGAATTAAGGAACTACCCGTTTGCATATGAAGCTTTAACTGTTGTTTTAAGTATGCCTTTACTATTTCTAAGTTTGTGGTAATGTTCCTAGGTGTTAGGCCTTTAACTGAAGATGAGCATTTTTATCTTAGGTTATGCAAGTTAGGTAAGTTGATCTTGTCTTTCAAGTTAAGTTAAATACATGTTTTAAAGTGATTTGAATAGGGCTATTCTTAATCGGTAAACGAGTGTCCAGTAATGTTTTTGTTAAACACTTACTGTGATTCATTCATCATGAGCATCATGTCATTCCTTATGCATCCATGATATTTATCTTGTGCATCGACATGCAATAGGTGCACCGGAAGGAGTGACCTCGCTGGAATTGAGAACCGAGCGGCGGCAACGCAACCGGACACCGGAGGTTCGGGAGGTGCGACCTTCGTAAAGTGCCGACGAGGTCGCCGTTGAGTGCCCGGATCACCGTCTGTGCAACTTTGTGAAAGGCAAGCCCTGGAGCATATTAAGCATCCTAATTTTCAAAATGCGCGATTCTGATATTATTGTTACATATATATATATATTGTTGCATTAAGTTTAGGTGTTGGATGCAAACACTTGCTCGCATTGGTTATCCAATCCTTGTCCGGATATTGATACCACAATCCTATGTAGCTCGGGCTCGTGTAGTGCTTAGCCCTGCTTAAACACGGTAGAAGTCGGTGATTTCCACACTGCGAGATATAGGAAGATACATATGGCACGGTTGGCTATATTTGCTATCGTGGAAAAGAACCAGATCTTAATTTGAAATGAAGACCGGACGGAGGCTTGCGGTTTGTGTAGACCTGGCGTGCATGTCGATTAAATCTTGAATCTTGGAGCCTTTCCTGCTCATGTTGAACGCATGTCTCTCTCTTAGTTGGTCGTGTTTGAAGACCGACCACATGGCCGTAGTAGCTCACCTCGGCCGGGAGTCGATAAGTATAAAGTGCGCCTCGAAAGGAGCCGTGGCGTGAGTCCAAGGCGGTGTGATTTAAAAGTCCAGATCGTCTGGCGGAAGGGTAATCCCCGAGAGTGTCTTGTGCCCGATCGAACCCGCGAATTTGGTTCCTAAGTTGTTCCAAAGGTGACCCACGTCTACCCTTGCTAAATATGCCAGGGTGAGAGTTAGGAATACCCCCTCAGCTGAGTTGTAATTCGATTCGAGTCGCCGTCTCTCCCGGTTAGTGAGAACTTGACGGACTTATCTCCAATGTAGAGACACTTAATAACATAATGATTCGGAAATGATGATATGATGATGACAGCCTTATTATACCTGCTATGGTTAATATTGTTTGCTCCTAATAAGTGAGTGCTTTAGTACAGGTGTTAATCTAGTGGACATGTAAATGATGATAAGCTTGATGCTAAGTTTAAATTGGTTACTATAATCATAAGCTCTTTTATGCAACTGTGTCAAGCTAGCCCCCCTCTTAAGCCTTGCATGATCCTTGGTGTCTTTTATTTTTGGTTTTGTCGGGTAAGTCTAGCTGAGTACCTTCTCGTACTCAGGGTTTATCTCCCCCTGTTGTAGATGATCAGTTCTACTTTGGTTGCTGCAAGTACTGCCTTCTCCCAGCTGGGGATGAAGACTAGACCGTTGGGCGCGGTCTCTACTAGTTCTCGTACCTGATAATGCTTTTGTGGGACATGACTCAGACTGGGCAATGTATTTGAAACTATGAAGTTATGTACTAAACTATGTTGCTTCCGCAAATTTGAACCTGGTTTGTAATATTTTATTCGCACTCTGATGGATGTAATCCGAATGCTACTTATGAAATGTTATAACGGATGATGTGTTGTGTTGAATCACTACGGTCTTGGTTTGTATGTCGAGAGTTGGTTGAAATCTTTCGTGATTTTCGGACTACCGGGATTATGGGAGCTTAAGTACAGGAATTTGATTGCTTCGGTGATTATTTTTGTACTTACGTTCTTATGATTTGGTCGGTTCTGTTACAATGATGAATTGGCATCTATTGCTGAACCCCTTCTGTCTGACATTCCCAGTGTATCTGGAACAACAAGGCCTTTTTGTTTTGTTAGCACTTGAGTGCTTGCTTGGTATTTTTGTGATATAGATATATGTTTTGTTGTTATAATATGAGTCTGTTTGTTATTGTTGTGATTTTTGTACTATAGAAGATGTTTAGAAACTTTTGGCTAAACAGTCAAGTTTGTCAGGATACTTGATCATGTATTTTACTGATGATTTGGGGGAGCACGTGTTGGTAATTTGATTTTTTTTTTTGCGAAAAAATACACTGTATGGGCGGCTGGTACTGTAGCCGCTCCTACAAATCGATTTGTAGGGGCGGCTACAGTACCAGCCGCCCCTATAAATCGATTTGTAGGGGCGGCTGATAACACCAGCCACCTCTATAAATTGATTTGTATGGACGGTCTGAGAACCGCCCCTATAAATACATGATTTATAGCCACCTCTTCATAGGGGCGGCTGGCAAAACCGCCGCTGCAAGGATTACGAGCCGCCCTAAAAACGGTTTTTACGTAGTGTGCAGTGGCGGCATGAGCAAGGCGGCGAGTTCATCCAGATGCCGTGCGGTCAGGTGGTGCCCGTGGTGGCGGAAGCCACGTTCGAGGATATGCTCGGGCTCGGCCCCGGCCCAGAGACGACGTACTGCGGCGAGTGGAGCGGCGGCATGGCAACAGCACGTATTCCATTTCCATGGAGCAGCTACACGCGCCGACGAGTTAGTCGTACACAGCATGCAGCGGTCTTCTTCAAGGATCAGATCCTCTCCTCCAGCTTCCTCCGTATCTTATGTGTTGACAGGGCTAGTAGCTAGAACTAGCTAGCTGCCGTGTGTGTTCTGGTTAAAGCTGCACGCAAGTTTTTGTGCATCAATGTATAGCTAGCTTAATTTCCCTAGCTGTAGAGATTTACCAATCACCATGTATGCATCAGACGGTGACAAGTAGTTCATCTATCGTCTAGATCTGCTTGTAAAGCTGACAACCATCAAGGATGTTAATGTAATGTTCATGCATCTGCTTAAATTCATGCACTGCGTGAGCTAATCGTTTCCTTTGCTTCATTGCTTATAATAATAAAAGTTATGGTGATTCAGCGAGCATGTCGTCTTGTGTTCGAGCCCCAAGATGCAGCTGCCTGGCAGTCCACCACCGGCATATGTGTGCTTTGCTAACTAAGTGTAGCTTCGCTTAGCTTTGTGTACGTACTAGAGATTTTACCATGAATCAGGTGATGACAAGTCAATTCATCTTATGGTCACTGCTTGTACAATATTTTTTTTGATAAAACTGGAGGGAGGTTTGCACCCCTACAGGAATTTTATTGTAATAAAAAAAGGATCAGTAATGTAACCGATCTGTTTCTACAGCAGTTGCCTGCACTGCCTGTGCTTGTGTAAAACAATTGTGACCTTTGCTTACATATGGGCTAGCTATATATCCTATCCTATCGAACAAGTACGTGTGCTTAGTTCTTTACCACCACACGATGCATGAGTCATGAATAAATAGTTCTCTGGTTTGTTAATATATATGGCATTGATGTTCTAGCTATCCTGTTTCATTACCAAAGTATTCTATCTTATCTTATAATAATGAGAAAAATGTTCATGACATTAATTAGAGAAAAAGCTACACATAGATAGGGATGAAAACGATCGGAAACGATCGATAGGAGACCAAATCACTTTTATTTTCATATTTTTTTCGAAAACAAAATCGATACGATATTGTCGGAAATGAATACGGCACCGATATTCCGGTAATTTCGAAAACGATCGTAGTCGATCGGAAAATACATCGATAATGATCGGAATCCATGAGAATGATATCCTAAAAAACGATAGACATGCCAAACTGTAGCATATGAGAAGAGCCATAAAACTCGACCTATCTCACATGACAATAGTTATAAATAAAACCACAATTGACAAGACTACAAGCTAAAACCATAGTTCACACCATCTTAGGTCTCAAACAAGCTAAACCTTAGAGTTAGGGTGCAGTACGTGATTGACTTATTGCCTTCTTATTCGTATACAAATGAAATATTTGCCGTATAGTTCCTCAAAAAAATATTTGCTTTATGTGCTTGTGTGTGCAGATGGGATGCTTAAATGTGGGCCAACTGGACCTAAAGTATATGTATTATATAGTCTATAAATAACTTAAGATTCAAGGCCTTTGAATCGGTAACTATCGACGGTAAATTACCAGCTAAATATGACAATCTTCAAAAATGGTCGGAAGAGGGCAAAATTGTTTTCGCTTTCGTTTTCGATTATTTTTATCGTTATCGTTTTCTTTTTTTCATTATCACTACCATCCATTTAGGCTTGAAAACCGAAAAAAACACGAAAAAGATTTCCGAAAATCAAAAGTTATCATTTTCGTTTTCATCCCTACACATAGAGAAAGAAAAGTACTTCCTCCATTCTAAATTATAAGTCGTTCCGACTTTTCTAGATATATAGACATAGAGAAAGAAAAGGTACTTCCTCCATTTCAAATTAATAAATTGTTTTATCTTTTTTAGCTACATAGATTTTATTATATACGTAGGAAAAGCTAGAATGACTTATACTCCCTCCGTTTTCAAATTGTAAGACGTTTTGATTTTTGTAGTAACATTGCTTTTACTATCTACCTAGACATAGTGTATATCTAAGCGCACAACAAAAACTACATGTATAAGAAAAATAAATTGTCTTATAATTTAGAATGGGAAGAGGATGGAGTAGCTTTTAGTGGTAAGGCAAGCAAAACAAAAAGGAAAGTAAAGCTAGGCCCAAAACCAACCCAGACCACTCCAACCTAAAGATGTAGAGTGATTCAACCTGACATGGGCCATTCGTTATCCTTTGGAAAACCATTCCCACTCAAAAACCAAATCAGCCCAAATGGAAAAAGAAATCCAATAAGCCCTTTCTTATAATAAAAAAATATTTCGATGATTTAGATGGCTGGGATGAATTTTTTTCGTGATCATGCTGTGACACGTTTTTCATTAAGTAGGAGTAGAATAGTTTGTTACAACGCTATGCGGTTACGCCGTTGATGACCGAAACCCACATCCCAACCTCTCGCACGCGGGTGTGATCACATAGTAAATTCTTTTGCTACTAACGTTGTACGAACAGCCCCGTGGCCGATCAAAGCAGCGAGCCGAGTTCCCGCTAGCTGCTGTGCGAGGAATTCCCTAACGACATTACAACGTGCGCGACCATTAAGTCCCCGTGCGTTCCACACTAAGCAGCTAGGTGACCGCGACATCGGAGCAGCCCCCCTGGCCGATCAAAGCAGCGAGCCGAGTGCCCGCTCGCTCCTGTGCGAGGAACTCCCTAACGACGTTTCGACGTGCGCGACCATTGAGACCACGCACGTTCCATACAAAGCAGGCAGACGACGGCAACATTAAGCAACAGTTGCGCGACGAAGGGGTACGCGGCGTTTAGACCGCATCCACGTCTAACAACCCAGCCATATCAAGGTTCATGGCAACTGGGTCGAACTCGGCTGAGAACAGCATCTGAAGGGCCTGCTGTTTGGAACCCGATAACGGTTCCTGGAATGTCTCCTTGAATTTGCGTATCACTTGAGTGTCGACTGCAGGCTCACTGACGGCGATCCCGAGTTTTTTTTTTTTTTGTGACTTCGGTGATCCCGAGCTTATGCAACTGCAACAGCACTCTCTGAGCCTGCTTGGTGGAGTTGGCCGCTCGCGGCTTGGCAGCGAGGCGGACGCTGCGACGAATCATACGAATCGTGACGGGCGTTTTGGACCTCCTGAGCCTCGGTCCGCCTCTGATCAGCGGCGTCTGCAGCGGCATGCATACCTGAGCCTCCAGCTCCTGAGCAACCGATATGGCTGGGATGAACGAAGGAATGGTGAAGCAGCTTGAGTCAGTCAACTTGGCACTGCGTGCTGAGTCAGTAAGTTGCTGCAGAGTGCAGAGAGCAATGGGAAGGGAGATTATTACCGGCAAAAAACTGACAGATTTACAATACCAAAATCTGTCAGATTTTCAATACACGGGTAAAGATCAACAAAGATCCAAAACCCGTTAGCTGCTTGCTGCTATCTGCCCATGTGGCTTTTGCTGCTGCTTCTGCTGTTCCACCAGTCCTTGTTCATTTAGCTAAATAGGCAAAATGGCAACATCATAATTAACAACTCTTGGCTGAACTACAAAATCCAGGTACTCCTTTTCAAATTGCCCATACTCATGCCTCGGTCTGCTCCCGCAGGCGCCACATTGAGCTCCTGACAGTGACCGCACTAGCAATGCTGGAAGTGCAGAGAACAAGTACACATGTGCTTATCCTCCTCTTCTGGGATCGTCTGTAGAGAACAAGTTCACAAAAAGAATTAACTTTAGAGATGTTCAGTTAACTTTCTGAATGATCAGGGTTGCGATGTGCCAACCTTAATATTATTGGTTGGATGAGCCAAGTTGTCCTTGACGAAGCTCTTGAACTCTTGGAAGTTCTCCTCTGTCGTCCAGTAGTGCCCGCTGAGAGGCCAAATCACCTGACACAAAAAAACAGGTATGCGTCACCAAGACATCAAACAAACTGGCCATCGAAAAAAGTAAAATTGAATATTTGCTCATACTAGAATGGTAGCAGATTGATAGATACCTTCAAAGTTCCATTATCAACAACCAATCGCCCGGCAGTACGAGTGGCCCCTATGGCAAGTAAGCTAGAGTGTTAAAATGTTCCCTTTTTCTTCTGCATTTGAAGTTAAAAGTTAGAACCTGTCCACTCACATGAGTATACCTGAAAATGGGCATCTAACTTTTACATTGCAACACACACACACACACAAAAGACGAACCAAATGGTGAACCTACAAACAAGCTTAGATATACTAAAATTCAGAGAAATATACTCTTTACACATTCAGAGCAAATGACATTCAGTTGTCAGAGCAACCATTTCCTCAAAAAGGACCTGGGCAAAGATAGATTCACCATGCTACAGTGTGTGTTGCCTACAAAAAACATATAGTTTACCTGAAAAACACAATGTAGCTAGGAAACACATCTACACACACATCAAAGCTAAGAATTGATCTTCAGATTGCTGCTAGAAAAGATAACAGAATTATACGAGTTTGGCAAAAGATCACACAAACACCCAGAACCACAAAAAAAAAAACCACACACAGAGACACACACACACACCTTCTGCAACGTTACTGACCCGATGGACGCCACGCTGGTGGCGGTGGAGGCCTGGCGCCACGGCGGCGTGCTGGTGCTCGACCTACACCGAGAAACACAAAAAATCACATAAACATAAAAAACACACACACAGAAAGAGAGAGAAACACACACACTCTCTTTCCAGTAGCAGCAACACACACACAAAGGCACTCAGCAACAGTAGCATCAGGCTTAATCAGTAGTAGCTGATGCCAAAAGCTTAATCAGTAGTAACATCAGGCTTCAGCAGCAGTCAAAGACACAACCACAACCACAGTGAGAGAAACACACACACAGGCATCAGCAAGCATCAGTAGCAGCAGGCATCGGCAGCAAGCATCAGTAGCAGCAGGAAACAGCAGCAAGCAGCTCCAAAAAGCAGAAAAAAAGGCAGCGGCAGCTCCAAAAGGCAGCAGCAGCTCAAACAACATAAATGCAGATCTACTAAAACAAAGTCAAATATATAAAAAAAAAATCCAAATAGCAGCTACAAATACACAATCAGCTCAACTAAAATAGACAAATAAAAACTCTGAAAATTACAGCTAAAGGCAAAAGAAAAAGAAAAACAACTCAAAAAATCAAAACATCTAAAACTAAACAAA